TCTTCAGGAGAGGCAAATCGATACTGAATCTAAAGACAAGGGTTAGCTGTTCATATACCTGAAGTTTTTTGGTCCGATGTGGACTTTGTTTGTTGAATGATGATTATTCTAATTGATTTTTCAGTAATCAACTAGTGGAACCACTACCTGCAAATTATTTTGTCCGCTTTTTAATCTATTGTTGACAAATTAATTTGCAGGTAGTGGTACCACTAGTTAATTATCGAAAAATCCATTAGGATAATCATCATTTAACAAACAAAGTCCACATAGGACCAAAAAACTTCAGGTTCATAAACAGCTAACCCTCGTCTTCAGATTCAGTAACAATTTGCTTCGCCTGAAGATGCTAACCTTGTTAGCGAAACGTTCCAACACTCGGTTTGAAAAACCACTCACTACCTCACCTAACCCCACGAACACACGGCACTGATAAAGAAATATTGTGAAACGGACAAAAAATTAGTATTCAGTCAGTCCAGCTAGCCGAGCCTTTATTCCTCAACTACGTTTGATAGCACGTTTACTAACTATCTGGGCGACTAAGGGCCACAGGCAAGAAATGTTCATGACTGTAATCTTATTTTTTTTGCCGTTTCAATTGGGAATGAATAGACTATACTTTATTTCGTTTCATTTCGTTTAATTTCTGACTAGTCTTATACATTGAATATGTCGAAAGGAAAGAGAATCAGAGCGAATTCAATTCCTTGAATCAGTTTTGATTGCACAATTGTGCAAGAATAATGTATAAAAATGAGTATTTTTCATGAAACCGCATTTTTCCGGCACTTGAAGATATAGCAGATTATTCAACAAAAGCGTGAGTATGTCGTGCACTCTTTTTATAAAATAATGAGAAAAAGGAAGTGAATTCTACCAACATCGAACAATGAGCTGAGGAGAATACCTCGCCGAGTTTCCAAGAAGAAACCCCAACCCGTTAATTAAAATAACGCCCGGTTTTCATTCCTTTTCCGTTCAAATAATGAAGCCACAAGACGCTCCACTTTTCCTTAATAAGCTCTTCTCGAATCGAGTGGGACTCAGTGAAGAAAATAGTAATATACCATCCACCAGCCGTTCCAGCATTTTCCTCCAGGTAAAAATGCACCGACGTTCTTGCCAATGGAAAAAGACTCATTTGTATTCCCTTCGTGAAAGTGAATTTGCAGTAATTGGCTAATTCAATATCGCCATCCTTGTCTGCTGCTTTTCGTCGAGGCTATTCTCGAACGGATTATCGTCGCTCGAATTTTCCAGACGTATTCTCGTGCCAAGTCTCTTTTTTGCTGCATTCTACAGTATTTCCTGTTTTCATAGACTTCCTGAGATAGCAGAAATAATTGATTCTGATTGATGAAATGATATTACCATAAATATGTATACAAAACACGTACCTACTTATGAATTCAAGGCACAAAAACCCTGGTGTTTTTTCGAAATTAATTTACCATCGCAGAGCTGTGACAAGTAAAAACATATCCCTTCTGACGCCCAAAGAAACTTCCTCCAGCAGTACTGGATGTACTTCTCTTGAAAATTGAACGTATGCCTCACTATTCAATCGGGGAGGTAGAAAATGAGGCCTGATTAAATCATCACCAATAACTCCGAGCCACACGTTAAGAGATAACTGTTCTTGATGGTTAGTTTCGACAATAGCGTGAGGGTTTTCATCAGCCCATATACGGTAATCATGAAAATTAATAATCTTGTCCTGAGAAAAACTACATTCGTCTACATTAGACAGTCACAATTTCTTCTAATCATTTCCAGCATCCAATTGTAAAATTCAAGACGACTCGGAAATTCTCGCGGTAACAGTGCCTGTACTATACAGTGTGTCCGCAAAGTATGGAATAAATTCAATATTTCGAAAACCAAAGGTCGTTTTACAAAAATCTGAAACACGTCAATATTTAATTTCAATATTCTTCATTTTACAACAAAATTCCATTACACAGAGCGATCCATATTGATGTGATGACGTCATCGGTAATTTTTTTTAAATACAACAACCTCTATTTGGTGTTAGTTTTAGATAATCCGTAATGAGCTGATTCCAAAAAGGTATAATACTTGGCGTCTAACGGACAGAATTTGGAAGATGTGCGCTTAGAAAATAAATTTTATTGATATCTAATAAAAGTAGAAATTAATTCTTTATTTTATGTTTTTTTTCTCTAATGAATAATTTAACAATGGAAAAGTAATCCAGTAATGAAAACATGACTTTGATTTAAATGTTCGATGTTCGAACTGTATATTTTGCTGTATTTGACAGTAACCTGAACATTGAATAAATCCTTGTTGGACCTTGTTTATGGTTTCTTGAGAAATATTGTTTATTTCTGTTCGAATTATCTCTTTTAATTCTAGAATATTTGCTGGTTTCGTTTTATAAACAACATTCTTCAGATGGCCCCACATAAAGTATTCCAATGAATTTAAGTCTGGTGACCTCGCTGGCCACGTCTATAACGTGGATGGTGAAAATGGCGTGTGAGTTTCCAGCGGTGTTCTCCGCATTGCAAATGAAGGTCACGCTATCTTCACTATGAGCTGTCCACGTCTACCAATCTATCGGTTCGTAAACATTTGATCGAGATACCTTCGAACATCTGCAGCATAATGTGAAGGCGCACCATCCTGTTGAAACCATAAACTTTCATCAAAACTTCCAGGATCAATTCTACTGGGGAATAAATTAATTGAAGTAGGTACAAAATATCCCCTTAAAAACTGAAGGTATGTTGGCCCGTCTAAAGTACCGTCGAAAAAGTAGGGTCCGATGATCCTGTTTCTCACAATGCCAGCCCATACATTTACCTTTTTCGGGTATTGTGTATGATGCTCACGCATCCAGTGGGGTTTTCTTTAGCCCAGTACCTACAATTCTGACAGTTTACCCCACCATTTAATGTAAAAGTAGCTTCATCAGAAAAAAATATTTTTTACGAGGAGACGGTCTCGGTGACAGTTATCCATCATGGCTATTCTTCTATCTGGATCATCCTCGTTTAATTTCTGTTGAAGGTCGATTTCAAAGGGATATCATTTTTCCAATTTCAATACTGTGTGTACAGTTGTTTTACTGACATCGAGATCACGACTAACCTTACGAACAGAAGTGTGCACACCTTCTTCAAAAGTAAGTAGAACATCTAATTTTGTATCATTACTTACAGAAGGACGACCTGAGTTGCGTGCATTTTCAACTGTACCAGTTTCTCGAAATTTCTTTTCAATCTTACTTACTGCTGACTGCAGTATGCGTCTTTTTGGATATTTTTCACTAAAAAAGGTACACACTTCCATCTGACTTCTCGATCTGTCTCCATAGCCAATCTAGTATAAATATTTCAAATCCTTGCTTTACACTTAAATTCACTACTACTTCAAATTGATTCGAAGCAATACTACAGAAAATTCAGGAATTAATACAACAACTACTGTCCTATTCAACGTTTACTGACGTCAATCGAAATAATGACACAATAACAAAAAATACTAGCCGCCTAGTTTTTTGAAATTATTAAGAAATACTTGTTAGCAGGGTTACTGTCAACTACAGCAAGGACTATAGTTTGAACATATAAAATAAAGTCATGTATTCATTACTGGATTACTTACCTATTGTTGAATTAATAATAATTAGAAAAAAATATGAAATAATCACAACAAAACAAAGTTTTTGTTTCGGGGTTGGAATTAGATGATTTTAATGTATTTCCACGTGTTAAAACCGAAAGTGACCATAAAAATTATATATTAGCTCTTGTTTTCAAGATATAGTATCATTATATTATATATATGTATATTGAGTTTTCAACAAATGAAATATTTCATCACCAACAGTTGGTACACATGTTTGTTTACATAACACCCCTCTCATCAGCTGTTCTTAAGTAGTAAACATAACCTATGTGAGTTTGTCAATTGTA